TCTATTCTGGAGAATGTTCCATGTGCACTAGAGAAGAATGTGTATTCTGTTGCTTTGGGATGAAATGTTCTGAATATATCTGTGATATCCATCTGGTCCAGTGTGTCATTTAAGGCCTTTATTTCCTTGTTGACCTTTTGCTTAGATGATCTGTCCATTTCAGTGAGGGGAGTGTTAAAGTCCCCTACTATTATTGTATTGTTGTCGATGTGTTTCTTTGATTTTGTTATTAATTGGTTTATATAGTTGGCTGCTCCCACGTTAGGGGCATAGATATTTACAATTGTTAGATCTTCTTGTTGGACAGATCCTTTGAGTATGATATAGTGTCCTTCTTCATCTCTTATTATAGTCTTTGGTTTAAAATCTAAGTGATCTGATAGAAGGATTGCCACTCCTGCTTTCTTCTGATGTCCATTAGCATGGTAAATTCTTTTCCACCCCCTCACTTTAAATCTGAAGGTGTCTTCAGGTTTAAAATGAGTTTCTTGTAGGCAACATATAGATGGGTTTTGTTTTTTTATCCATTCTGATACCCTGTGTCTTTGATTGGGGCATTTAGCCCATTAACATTCAGGGTAACTATTGAGAGATATGAATTTAGTGCCATTGTATTGCCTGTAAGGTGAGTGTTATTGTATATTGTTTCTGTTCCCTTCTGATCTACTACTTTTAGGGTCTCTCTTTGCTTAGAGGACCCCTTTCAATATTTCCTGTAGAGCTGGCTTGGTGTTTGCAAATTCAGTTTTTGTTTGTCCTGGAAGCTTTTAATCTCTCCTTCTATTTTCAATGATAGCCTAGCTGGATATAGTATTCTTGGCTGCATGTTTTTCTCGTTTAGTACTCTGAATATATCATGCCAGCTCTTTCTGGCCTGCCAGGTCTCTGTGGATAAGTCTGCTGCCAATCTAATATTTTTACCATTGTATGTTACAGACTTCTTCTCCCGGGCTGCTTTCAGGATTTTCTCTTTGTCACTAAGACTTGTAAATTTGACGATTAGGTGACGGGGTGTGGACCTATTCTTATTGATTTTGAGGGGGGTTCTCTGAACCTCCTGGATTTTGATGCTTGTTCCCTTTGCCATATTGGGGAAATTCTCTCCAATAATTCTCTCCAATATACCTTCTGCTCCCCTTTCTGGAATCCCAATTATTCTAATGTTGTTTCGTCTTATGGTGTCACTTATCTCTCGAATTCTGCCCTCGTGGTCCAGTAGTTGTTTGTCCCTCTTTTGTTCAGCTTCCTTATTCTCTGTCATTTGGTCTTCTATATCGCTAATTCTTTCTTCTGCCTCATTTATCCTAGCAGTGAGAGCCTCCATTTTTTATTGCACCTCATTAATAGCTTTTTTTATTTCAACTTGATTAGATTTTAGTTCTTTTATTTCTCCAGAAAGGGCTTTTATATCTCCCGAGAGGGTTTCTCTAATATCTTCCATGCCTTTTTCGAGCCCAGCTAGAACCTTGAGAATCGTCATTCTGAACTCTAGATCTGACATATTACCAATGTCTGTATTGATTAGGTCCCTAGCCTTTGGTACTGCCTCTTGTTCTTTTTTTTGTGGTGAATTTTTCCGCCTTGTCATTTTGTCCAGATAAGAGTATATGAAGGAGTAAGTAAAATACTAAAAGGGTGGCAACAACCCCAGGAAAATATGCTTTAGCCAAATCAGAAGAGATCCCAAATCGGGGGGGGGGGGGGGGAAGGGGATAAAAAGAGGTTCAGAAAGAAAAAAAAAAAAGAAAAAAGAAAAAACAAATAAAAAAAGAAAACCAATAATGAAAAAAATATAAAAAGGAAAAACATATATATATATTAGATAAACTAGTTAAAAAACGTTAATAAAGAAAAGGGTAAAAGTTAAAAAAAATTTAGCAGAAGAAGAGAAAAAAAATTGAAAAAGAAAAAAAAATTAAATTAACTGCAAGGCTAAAGAATCATGGGGAGAAAGCCATGAGTTCCGTGCTTTGCTTTCTCCTCCTCTGGAATTCCGCTGCTCTCCTTGGTATTGAAACTGCACTCCTCGTAAGTGAACTTGGTCCTGGCTGGGTTTCTTGTCGATCTTCTGGGGGAGGGGCCTGTTGTAGTGATTCTCAAGTGTCTTTGCCCCAGGCGGAGTTGCACCGCCCTTACCAGGGGCCGGGCTGAGTAATCCGCTCAGGTTTGCTTTCAGGAGCTGTTGTTCCCTGAGCACTTTCCGTAGAGTTCCGGAGGACGGGAATGAAGATGGCGGCCTCCCAGTCTCTAGCCCGGAGGAGCCGAGAGTCTGGGGCCCCACTCCTCAGTGCGCCCTCAGAGAACAGCGCCCAATTACTCCCGTCTGCCTGGCCTCCAGCCGCGTGCCGAGCTCACCGAGCCTGCGACCGGTTCAAGGTAAGCCCGAGCTGTGAGCTCACTCCTCGGCTCCGTCTCTGTAGCCAGCTTCCCCGTTCTAATACCTGCGAGCTCTGCGACACTCAGACACCCCAATCCTTCTGTGACCCTGTGGGACCTGAGGCCACACTGGCTCAGGTTAAGTGAGCCACTCAACTTAACACCCCAGTTAAGCCTCTGGAGCGATGTCCCTCAGCGGAACAGACTTTTAAAAGTCCTGATTTTGTGCTCCATTGCTCCGCCGCTTGCCGGGAGCCGGCCCCTCCCCCCGCGGTCTATCTTCCCGTCCCTTTGGATTCACTTCTCCGCCAGTCCTACCTTTCAGAAAGTGGTTGTTTTTCTGTTTCTAGCATTGCTGTTCTTCTTCTCTTCGATCTCCCGTTGGATTTGTAGGTGTTTGCAATCTTTAGATAAGCTATCTAGCTGATCTCCCGCAACCTGAAGTAGTCTCAGCTGCTACTTCTCCGCCATCTTGACTCCTCCCCCTCAGTAACATTTTTTTTTTTTACAAGTTGTTTAACTCCTATTTATTCCTATAGCAGCCTATCCAGCACTATGTAAGAGTTTTAGTTCAATGTCATAGTGCCTAAAATAGACAACACAATCACCAACTGAACACTTTAATATTTACCACATCTATATCTGGCTTTTCTTAAATATAGTCCCTCTTGTTCCTGTTTCTCCATTATTGGGCAGAAGCACAGGATAATTATTTTTGTATGTCCAACAAAGAAGTAAGTTGATTATAACAAAAAATTTTAGATTCATACAGTGAGCAGAAAAACTTCCTTATCAAGACAATTGTGTTCCTGTGGATTAAATAATAGGTTATTGGAAAAGAGAAAAATGACTTATGCTGAAGGTATTCTGTTGAAATTACTAGATTCTTTTATTTATATATACCATCTAAAACGAAGTCAAAGTGAGACCGCGTAGAGCCTTTTATATTTCTGCTTTGATAAATAGGTTAAAAACATTTATAGTTACCAAATGATTTATGTACATGTAGAGAAATACTTTTTAAAAGTACTTTGAGGGCACCTGGGTGGTTCGGTCCTTTTAGAGTCTGCCTTTGGCTCAGGTCATGATCTCCAGGTCCTGGGTTGAGGCCTGGCATCCGGCTCCCTGCTGAGCAGGGAGTCTGCTCCTCCCTCTCCGTCTGCCTCTCCCCCTTGCTCATGCTCTCTCTCTCTCTCTCAAATAAATAAAATCTTAAAAAAAATAAAAAGTACTTCAAAATTCTTAAAAATAGTTTACATTTAGACAAGGTTTAAAACTTGTGATCTTTTTCGACGATTTGGTTTAAAACGCATCTTTATGAATTAAGCACAGACCAAAAAAAACCTTAATCTAATCCAAATCTGAATGATCAAAAATCCCAAACTTAGTAAATATTAGTAGGAAGTTATACTGTGGACAAGAGCATTGATGCAACCCATACTAAAACTGCTTTAGTTTTCAGGTATTGGCATTACATTTTTCTAGGGAAAAAAAAAAAGACAAATTAAGAAATATTTCCAGTATTATAAAATGGATTGACTTATAAACCCCATTTAAATTTAAGCTCATTCACCTCTATGCTAAAGGAAGGAAAATATTAGAATAAATAAAACTGAAAGAAATATGTTTTTGTCTATATATATATAGACACAGAGAATAGATGGCCATTTATAAGCCAAAAAAAGAGGTCTCAGAAGAAACCAACCTTCTCACCACACACACACACACACACACAGTCATTATGTGAGGTGATGGAAGTATTAATTAACATTATTGTGGTCATTATTTAGTAAAATATATGTATATCAAAACATCACATTGTACGTCTCAAACTTAATGTTATATGGCAATTATATGGCAATAAATCTGGGAGGAAGAGGAAGAGGAGGAGAAGAAGCAACAGGCAGAGGGAGAAGCAGGCTTCCCACCAAACAAAGAGCTGGATGTGGGGATCCATCCCAGGACCCCAGGATCATAACCTGAGTGGAAGGTAGACGCTTAAAGGACTGAGCCACCCACACTCCCGTTTCATCAAGTATTACATAAGACTAGTGGGTATTTGACATTTGGTGCTATTTTTTTTTTAAAGATTTTATTTATTCATTTGACAGACAGGGATCACAAGTAGGCAGAGAGGCAGGCAGAGAGAATGGGAAGCAGGCTCCCTGCCGAGCAGAGAGCCCGACACGGAACTCCATCCCAGGACCCCGGAATCATGATCTGAGCTGAAGGCAGAGGCTTTAACCCACTGAGCCACCCAGGTGCCCCAGTGCTATGTTTTAAATAGGAAATCAACCTTTCCACTAAAAAATGCTTAAAACATATAATTTATTATTTTTACATAAATTTTGAGCATGGCAGTTCCTAAACACTATTTTAACAATACAGCATTTAGCAGTCACCTCAAAAGCACTTAAATACATATGATACTCAAGAGAATTTATCTAGCAAAAGACAGACTTGGGTCTAAATTAGTGCTTCTCCGTGATAAGGCAGTTCAATATTGAGAAAAAAGCAAAACTGAGTTAAGATAATACTTTGAACCCTTATCAGAATGTTTCTCTTCCTACTTTTGCAGAGGACATAATTTCCCTTGGCATTTTATTTTCAGATAATCCATATACCTCAGCTAAAAGATTCTTGTTTTTCACCAACAAACCAGTAAGGTCAGGATGGACTGGGTCAGCTGCCCTTTTGTTGTACATCACTGGGTTCTTGGTGGGAACCACAACAGGTGGATCAAAACAAGCCTACAAAGAGAAATAAAAATTAACTAAACATGTACCCTACTGATGAAAACCAACAGTGTTCTAACCCACACAAGCTCAAATAAGCAGCTTTAAACAGAATACAACTTTAAAATATTTATTTTGAGTTGCTATGGTAACCAATGCAATGGGTCTCAGGAAAATAACAAGTAACATGTTGACCTAAAATACTACTTTACATTTTTTTTTAAAAAATTGCTACCTGATAATTTATAAGACCTTAAATAAAGCACATCTGAATAAATATAATTTCTAAGAGTATGGAAATCAAGAAAACACATATAAGATATCTGGGGAAATTTTAACTCATATCCAATAAAACCTTTATAAGAAACTTGAAATATTAGAAGGCCACTGATGAAATATATACCAGTATTTGTTTTACTTTTGGCTACAAATCAATTCCTGTGCACTATATTATTATACAAATTAATTTTTTAAAATCTGATTTTAGTAAATCAACAATTTTGTGTTCCTTCCATATCTATATTGAAGGTAAAGATTTGGGTGTATTTACCTGTAATACAGTATCTCCTCGTATTGTCAAAAGGGTATGCAAAATGTACTTGTTAACACTTTTGTTAAGTAACTTTTGTTAAGAACAAAGTTTGTATGGGGCGCCTGGGTGGCTCAGTGGGGTAAAGCCTCTGCCTTTGGCTCAGGTCATGATCTCAGGGTCCTGGGATCGAGCCCCACATTGGGCTCTCTGCTCAGCGGGGAGCCTGCTTCCCCTCTCTGTCTGCCTCTCTGCCTACTTGTGATCTCTGTCTACCAAATAAATAAATAAAATCTTTAAAAAAAAAAAAGAACAAAGTTTGTATGATTCAAATAAAACCAAGAAAAATGTATTAACATAAATCTCTTAAAAGTGTATAAATGTATCACATGGTGCTTAATGTACTGAAGGAACAAAATATATTTTTCTAAAGTTATCGGGTTTTAGAATTTTATGCTTACCAAGATAGTAGGAAATAGAACTGCACAAGAAAATACAAAATAACTATGTTTAACTATTTAAAGAAATAAAAGAGGGGTGCCTGGCTAGCTTAGTAGGTGGAGAGTGCAACTCTTGATCTTGACATTGTGAGTTCAAGCCTCAGGTTGGGTGTAGAGATTACTTAAAAATAAAATCTTTGGGGTGCCTGTGTGGATCAGTCAGGTAAGTATCCAACTCAATCCTGGCTCAAGTCATGATTTCAGAGTCATGAGATGGAGCCCTGTGTTGGGCTCTTGTGGAACATGGAGCCTACATAACATTCTTTCTCTCCCTCTCCTTCTGCCGTTCACTCCCCCAGCTTGCACATACTCTCTCTCTCTCAAAAAAAAAAAAAAAAAATAATAATAATAATATGAAATAAAAATACAATTTTAAAAGTCCTTAATAAAAATTTTTTTAAAAAGAGAATTTTGAAAATATAAATAAGTCACAAGACCACAAAGAATAAACATGTTGGAAAAAACAACTGAGTAAGATTCCAGAAATGAAAAGTATAATAATTTTAATTCAAAAATTGAATGGACACATTAAAAAGCAAATTAGACCTAGCTGAAGAATGAATGGATTTTTTAAAAATTTTATTTATTTATTTGACAGAGAGAGGCACAGCTGGAGAGGGAACACAAGCAGGGGAAGTGGAAGAGGGAGAAGCAGGCTTCCTGCCTAGCAGGGAGCCCGATGTGGGGCTCGATCCCAGAATCCTGGGATCATGACCTGAGTCGAAGGCAGACACTTAATGACTGAGCCACTCAGCACCCATGAATGAATGGATTTATATGAAGGAATTATCAAGAGGACAGCATATAGGAAAAAATAAGTGGTAAATGTAAGAGAGAGTTTGAACACACAGAGAACAACATGAGGTTGTCTATCACATGTCTATATGGAGTCCAAGAAATTTATAACTTAGAGAATGGGCAGAGTCAATATTAGAAGACATAATGCCTGAGAATTTTACAGAATTGTTGAAAGATATCAATAAAGTGGTCTAGCAAATCCCAAGAAGAGTAAATAAAAAGAATTCCTTACCTATACACTCATAATGAAATTGCAGAATAGCAAAGAATTATCTAAAAAGCAGATAATAGAAAGGACAGATGATTACAAAGAAATAGCTGTTGGACTGGTGAGTGGCTTCTTAATAACAAAGAAGCTAGAAAACAGCAAAAGGATAGCCGTAATGCCGAAGAAAAATATATCATCTTTCATTGATTTTGAGACCCAAGTTTTCTCATCTCTGCAGTTGGGATGCAACTTTTTTTTTTTTTTAATTAAGATTTATTTATTTACTTGAGAGAGAGGAAAAGGGGTTAGGGGCAGAGGGAGAGAAAGAATCTCAAGCAGAGTCCTTGTTAAGCATGGAGCCCAACAGGGCTCAATCTCACGACCCTGAGATCATGACCTGAGCCAGTATCACAAGTCAAATGCTTAACCAAATGAGTCACTCAGGTTTCCTTAACTGGGATGCATCTTAAAGTTGGTATCACTTCATACTATGGATAAGTTAGCTGGCAAGATTTTTTAATATTTTATTTATTTATTTGACAGAGATCACAAGTAGGCAGAGAGGCAGGCAGAGAGAGGGGGGAATCAGGATCCCTGCCTAGCAGAGAGCCTGATGCAGGGCTCGATCCCAGGACCCTGAGATCATGACCTGAGCTGAAGGCAGAGGCTTTAACCCACTGAGCCACCCAGGCACCCCATATATTTTGTAATAGTGCATAAAATAGTAGTGTTTCTTCAAGGATATAACTGGCAGTTAGAATTTTATTCTGAATGATATTATGTTTTAATATAGCATAAAGACATTTTGGCAAACAAAAACTGAATTTACCATATGCCCTCATTTAAGAAAATTATAAAGGATAGATTTCACATAGAAAATTAACTCACAAAGTCTGAAATACAAGCAAGAATAGTGGACAGGGGTGCCTGGGTGACTCAGTGGGTTAAAGCCTATGCCTTCGGCTCAGGTCATGATCCCAGAGTCCTGGGATCCAGCCCCGCATAGGGCTCTCTGCTCAGCAGGGAGGCTGCTTCCTCCTCTCTCTCTTTGCCTGCCTCTCTGCCTACTTGTGATCTCTGTCTGTCAAATAAATAAATAAAATCTTTAAAAAAAAATAGTGGACAAAAAATAATAGTAAAAATGTGGGTATATTTAAACAAGCCTTAATTTTAAAAAATCTGATTTATGTTTGAAAATAAAGAATAGAACCAATACAAGACCAAAAAAAAAAAAAAAAATGCATTGAGAGGAGAAAAATAATTTAAAGCACTATAAAATCTCCCAATTTCTCAGGAGTAACATAAAAATTTCAGTTAGCTTTGTTAATTATACATGTTAAAACAGCTAATATAATTACTAAAACAGGAGTCATATAGCATATAATTTCTAAAATAGTAGAGAAGGAAAAAATGGAATAAAAATCAATACAAACAACAAAATAAAAATATAATCAGTTTTTGGCATGATAAGAGGAAGGAAAAGGAAACAGAAAAATAATGAGACAATAGAATATGCATAATGTAATGACGGAGATCTATCCAAATAGTAATATCAATAAATGTAAATGGACTAAACTTTCCAGTTAAAAGCAAAGATTATCAACATTATTTAAAAAGCAAACAACTGAAAACTCACATATCAGATAAGCGTTTAATAGATAAATAACTTGTGGTATATTCATACAAAAAATACTACACAATGATGAAAATTATTATTAATCACATACATCAACACAAATTTCATAAAGCAAAAGAAGTAACAAAAGAATAAAAGCAGTATAATTCTATTCAAGTAGCCTTTCAAAATGGATAAAAATAATTTTAATTAGGGATACATATATGGGTATTAAACTAGGAAGGAAAACAAGGAATGATTAACACAAAATTCAAAATATCTACTATTTAAGTGTCCAACTCTTGATCTCAGCTCAGGTCTTGATCTCAAGGTCATGAGTTCAAGGCCCACATTGGGCTCCAACATTTTATGTAAAACAAATTTTAAATAAAAATAAAAATAAAATATCTACGGTTTTGAATTTGAGGTGGCAGCAAAGGGATTCAGTTAGGAAGAGACACACAGGAAGTCTGTCTCAGGTGCTGCAACATTCTATGAAAATAGGAGGCAGGTTCACAGGTATTTTTCTTATTATCTAATCTGTGTGTATACATTTTATAATTTTCTAAGTGTGACATAATTTAAAAAAATAAATTCATACGCAAAAACACATACTTTTGAAAGATGAATATAGAGTCAAACATACATCAAACATATCAGATTGAAAGGAGTTAGAAATGGAGATGGGGGAAAAAAAAAGAAGAGCAACCTTGCACAGAAAGACGGTAATGTACTATGAACTAACATGACTAACTTGACAGCATACCTGAGATCTAACACAGGAGTACATTGATTAAACAGTGCTAGGTGTCTTATTTAGTACATTGCAATATCACTACAATTTTTTTTTTATTTTTTAGTTTTATTTTCTTTAAAGATTTTATTTATTTATCTGACAGAGAGCGAGATCACAAGTAGGCAGAGAGGCAGGCAGAGAGAGAGGGGGAGGCAGGCTCCCCGTTAAGCAGAGAGCCTGATGCAGTGCTTGATCCCAGGACCCTGAGATCATGACCTGAGCCAAAGGCAGAGGCTTAACCCACTGGGCCACCCAGGTGCCCCTCACTACAACTTTTTTTAATAATTGTATTTGATAGTATTTCTTTTTATTTCCTCTTAATACTTCAGTGCATATTTAGCTTTCAGCATTCTGTAAGAAAGGCATGTACAGAAAATATCCATTATTTTTTGCAATATCATTAAGATTTAAAATACCAATAATAAAAGTATTAACTATTATATCCAATTAGGCTTTGAATTTATAAAAATAAGAAAGTCACCCTGTAATTTATTTTTTATAGATAACTCTTTCAAATACAGCTTGAAATTTTTTTAATTTCATATTTAGAAGATATGGACAAGGAGGCA